CAGCAGGCCCCAAACTCTGTTATATCACAAATGATATGATTACATTATTTTCTATCAACATGGTTTTTACACAAATGCAAAGCAAACAGAACTGTGACATCTTTCCCAATGAAAGAACCACCGTTCAGTAAATATTGACGATTCACAGATAGTGTGCTAAGCACTTTACATATATTAACTTATTGAATCTTCACAACAATCCTGTGAGGTAAATGAAGTATTTTCATTTTACAAATAAAGATACTGAGACTTAGCTAACTTCTCTCTCATTTATCTGTTTTTGATCTTGGAGTCATGAACTTTCTAAGTCTCAGTGCCCAGGTAGAAGCTGACGCTCACCGGTGTGCTAATCAACCTCAGTGATTGCTCTTTGACTCGAGGCTACCATGCTACCATGCTACCATGCTACCAACACTGCTCTGTTGAAGGCCACTGAAGACCTAAACCCCACTTACGCCTTCACTGTTCACTCCCCATTTGATTTTTCTGTGGGATTTGGTTCTGCTTATTCCTCCTATGTTATGTCTTTCCGTGTAGACCCCCCTGCCTTCATCAATTCTTTTTTTATTTTCACTCCTAGACTCTTAGCACACCTCTTCCCCTCTCCCTTGCAGTATATGTAAACATACTCTTATTTCTCCCATATTAAGACAACTGTACCTTCTTTTAATCCTGTGTCCCCTGCATAAGCACTACTTTATTTTCTTTTTCATTTCCCATTGAAAGAGAAGTCTACACGTGCTATTTCCATTTCAAATCTCTCATTCATTCTCCAGCCCACTGAAATCTCAATTCTACAATAAGCACTTCACTGAAACTGCTCTTTCCAAGCCTGACAATAATCTCTAATTACAAATCCAATAAAACCTGTTCAGTTCTTATCTGACATGACCTTTCTGAATGTTTCATTGGCACTTTAAACTCAATAGGCTTAAAAAATTAACTCATTGTCTCCAACTGCCACTCAGCTTGCTTCTCCTCCAGCTTTTTCTCTTATGTTTGACTGAATCTCAATTATCCCATTTTAGAAGGCTCAGGGCCTTCTGGAGTTCTCTTCCACGTCTCTCTTTCACTCATCCAATCATTTCACCCAACTCATCATTTCCACCTTGGCAAAATCCTTCTCTTTTTTAAAAAATTATTTTATTGAGGTCATATTAGCTTATAACATTGTGTAAACTTCAGGTATATGTTAGTATATTTCAGCTTCTGTATAGACTGCATTGTGTTCGTCACCAATGGTCTAGATTTTATTCATCACCATACATACACGCCCCTTTATCCCTTTTGCCCTCTCCCCACCCTCCTTCCCTTCTGGTAACCACCAATCTGTTCTCCTTATCTATGTGTTTGTTTATCTTCCATATGAATGAAATCATATGATGTTTGTCCTTCTCCCTCTGACTTACTTTACTTAGCATAATACTCTCAAGGTCCATCCATGTTGTTTCAAATGGCACAATTTTGTCTTCTTTATGACTGAGTAGTATTCCGTTGTATATAGATAGATAGATAGACATACAGATATCTCATGTCTTCTTTATCCATTCATCCATTGACGGGCACTTGAGTTGCTTCCACTTCTTGGTGATAGTGAATAATGCCACGATGAACATAGGGGTGCATATAGCTTTATGAATTAGTGGTTTCATGTTCTTTGGATAAATATCCAGTAGTGGAATGGCTGGATCATATGGTATTTCTATTTTTAATATTTTGAGAAATCTCCATACTGTTTTCCATAGTGCTTGCACGAGTTTGCACTCCCACCAGCAGGGTATGAGGGTTCCCTTTTCTCTACATCCTCTCCAATACTTGTTATTTCTTGTCTTGTTTATTGTAGCCATTCTGACAAGTGTGACATGATATCTTATTGTAGTTTTTATTTGCATTTCCCTAATAATTAGTGATGTTGAACATCTTTTCTTATGCCTGTTGGTCATCTGTATATCTTCTTTGGAAAAATGTCTGTTCATATTGTCTGCCCACTTTTTGATCAGAGTGTTTGTTTTTGTTGTTGAGTGCTATGAGTTCTTTATATATTTTGGAAATTAATCCCTTGTTGGATATATGTTTGCAAATAGTTTCTCCCAGTTGGTGGGTTGTCCTTTTGTTTTGTTGATGGTTTCCTTTGCTGTGCAGAAGCTTTTTAGAAGTACAAATGCAGTTCCATTTGTTTATTTTTTCCTTTCTTTCCCTTGCCTGAATAGATATGGTATTCTAAAAGATAGTGCTAAGACTATTGTCACAGAGTGTCTTGCCTATGTTTTCTTTTAGCAGTTTTATGGTTTCAGATCTTACATTCAAGTCTTTAATCCATTCCTCATGGCAATTGAATAAAGACTCCTAAAATTTATACGGAACAACAGAAGACCCCAAATTGCCAAAGCAATCCTGAGAAAAAAGAAAAACGTTGGAGGTATCATACTCCTTGAATTCAAAATATGCTATAAAGCTATAATAATCAAAACAGCATGATGCTGACAGAAAAACAGGCCCACAGTTCAATGGAACAGAAATGAAAGCCCAGAAATAAACCCATCTGTGGACAGTTAATCCTCGACAAAGGAGCCAAGAACATACAATGGAGAAAGGAGAGTCTCTTCAATAAATGGTGTTGGGAAAACTGGACAGCCACATGCAAAAGAATGAAAGTAGACCATTATCTTATATCATACACAAAAATTAACTAAAAATGAGTGATTCTTAACCCTGGACGTGCACTAGAATTACCCCGGGAGCTTCTTAAAAAATATTCGCGCCTAGACTCTAATCTGAGACCAATTAAGAGAATCTCAGAGAGCAAGGTCAGACATGGATAATTTTTAGGATATTAATTTCAATTGCAACTAGGATTGATATCCATTGTTTCACATTCTCCTCAGCATAATAGTACAAGCTCAGGCCCTCATTAACATTCCCCTGTATTACTTTAGTTTCTCTAATTTTTCTTTAAACCCACAATCTCTCTTCTTTAAGACTTTCAACCACATTTTTGCTAAAATCTGTAAAACGCAACTTTGGACATGCACTGCCCTGCTTACATAACTCAAAGAATAAAGTTCAGTCACTTTGTATAGTGGATTAGGACCTTCCAGAAAAATGTTTAAGACGTAGTGCATACTATTTAGTAATTTGCCATATAATGAGGAAACATATGGAAAAAATCAAAACAAATAGACATAAGTCTTTTGTGTACCCACTTGCCATTGGTTAGTATAGTGCCATGCACACATAGGGCACTGGAAAAATATCTATTGAACTGATTTTAAAGGCCATTTTTAAGGGTAAGCTTCCACTAACCCCAAAATTCAATGTAGCTAAATATGCTTGTGCCTAGCAGGAATTTAATAACTGCTAGTTAAGTGCCAGATAATTAACTGTAACGTCTACACTACTTTTCACGTCTCACTCAGTATAAGTCAAGGCAATGAAGAAGAAATCTGCTACGTCTACTTTTTCTCAAAGCATTCTATATACAAAACAAAAGAGAAGGAAAGGAAGGCAGGCAGGCAGACAGACAAACCCTTATCTTAATGAAAATAGTAATGTTCTACTCTGAGTTCTCTATGTGGGTAAGGGGAGCAGGAGATGCCCAGTATACATCCCCCCAACTTTTCAGTTTCTCCAAGCGGAGTGTCTGCCTCATTCTAATTCTCTCCAATTAAGTAAAGGAGTCAAAATGAGACAGGACTTGATGATGAAAAATACTATTTGATATCTTTGTATATATTGCTCTTATCTATGATCAAAATTTTCAAAGGATCAGGGCCAACCTAGTGGCACAGCGGTTAAGTTTGCACGCTCCACTTCAGCAGCCTGGAGTTTGTTGGTCTAGATCCCGGGTGTGGAGCTACGCGCCACTTGTCAAGGCATGCTGTGGCAGGAGTCCCACATATAAAGTAGAGAAAGATGGGCACAGATGTTAGCTCAGGGCCAGCCTTCCTCAGAAAAAAGAGGAGGATTGGCAGCAGATGTTATCTCAGGTCTAATTTTCCTCAAAAGAACGAAAATAAAAAATTTTCAAAAGATCAAGTCCCATTTAATGACTGTGTTATTAGCTATTGTGTATTATCAAAAATCACAACCCAGTTGTACATCATTGTGTTGTAGCACAGGACTTGCTGAGGGAAATAAAGAACAGGTAACGCTCCCTTTTTATTTCAACCATATATGCAGATTCTCAGTAGTCTGTTAAAACTGGAAGTTTCCATTGTGTTAAGGCAATAAGAGTGTATAAAAGTAAAGCTATAGGATGTTATTCCAGAAATAGAGAACGTCAAAAAAGTTATCACAAATCAGTCACCCATTGACTCATGCTCTCAGACTCTAATCTACGTTACAACATACTGCACTGAATGTTTGCCAAGTTAATGAAAAAGGATAAGATCACACACACACAAAGTGTATGTGAAACTGGTGAAATCCAAAGAAGGTCTGTATTTGAGTTAATAGTATTGTAGCAATGTCCAGTTATTGGTGTTGTAAGATGTTATCACCGGGGGATGACAGAGCAAAGGATACACAGAAATCCCCTGTGCCATTCTCATAGCTTCTTGTGAATCTTAAACAATCTCAAAATAAAAACTATATAAAACATTTGCAAATACTAATTCACAGCCATGTTTGCTATTTGATTCATATTTTTATATATAATGAATTTCAAAGGATGAACAGTGCACTACATTTAACAATTTTCACAATAAAGTAAATTCTGCAGATTTCTAGCAAAATTATGCCAGTTGTGCTCATAGCCAAGATGTGCGCAAGTAACACAAGTGTAAATATATCTATTTCAATTGTTGCCTAGCAAAGAAGTAAATCAAATATTGGAACCTTGTGTAAATGGCAAGATTTGCCATGGAGTTTTATTAAAAGAAGATTGAAGAATGTATGTCAGCTTCCCCACGAATTCAGCAGTTTTCCTGGATAGTAACTAAAGTGCTTTTAAAATTAAACCCTGGAAAACAGATTCCCCAAATGTAACTCATGAAAGAAAGTCCATTTTATATCCCAATTTTATTCACCTTTTCTGAATAGTCACAACATTAATCTACTGGGGATAATCTAGTTAGTATATTTGAAATTCCATTTATTTTTTCTATTGATATGCATGTATTACACTTGTATATAATACAGAATTTCCAGTGTTGTTTTAAAGGATATCATTTAAAAAATGAGAAGCATGATCTATAATTTCAAACAAACCTAAGACAAATTCATAATTTCCAAAACAATATAGTTTTCCACTTTGTTCCAAAGAAATTGATATTATAATTGATGCAGAAACTTCAGCACAACTGTTTTTAAGTTCATACAGTCGAAATCATTGCAAAATCCACTCAGAGCCATCTAATTTTATGCCTAATAAATGCATAAAATGAAGGGAAGATGTCATGTCATTCCATGGACTTGTGGGGAATATAGTTTAGTTCGACGTCAAAAGTATACTTTATAAATTTAATTTTTAACAAATTTTACACTTTTATTTGTTCTGCCCAGAAAAGATTCTGGGTAATGTATTGGTCTTCGAAAGTTGTTACCAGCTTACAGACAGAAGCTCTTCAGGGTATGTCAGCCTCCATCATGCAATCAACATATACCTAATTGACCAAGTCAGTGAGTTTTAAAAAGACAACAGATGTCTACACTTTCTCTAACATAATGGAACTTCTAATAGGACAGTTTCTGAAGTTATCTTCTCGTTAGTCTAAGATGAGTAAAACACAGAAATCTCTCTCTTTACACGCCCTCAAACTATATGTTACACGATATTATTACAGAATGGCTATGCAATTGCCATTCTTCTCTCCCTCCACAAACAAAACAAAATGTAGTATAAAATTATACATTCTGTAATAACTTAGAAAAAAAAGTAGATACATGTTTAAGGCCTTTAAATATTTATAAGACTTTCCTGTAGAACTGAAAACCACAAATGTTAAAATGACTACAAAAATGTGGACAAAAACTGACCTAAGAAATTCTTTGAATGGGACAACTATAAGCAAATATTTATAAATTTCAGACCAAGAATAATGAACACTCTATCAACAGACTGAACAAACATATAAGCATTCAAACAGTCATTGAGATCGAGCAAGAGATGGTCTTTTAAAATGAGATAAAAAGGACAGTTAAAAAAAAATACTAGAAGAAATCTAAGTGAATAACTTTTTCAGGTTAAGAAGTCAGAAACCCACATGCATCCCTGGCAATTTTTGGAAACTGAAGGCAACCCAAAGACTTGACTGCTCAGTGCTGATTTCTGTGAAGGGAAAAAGTAAACAGAAAAATGAAAGAAAAAGCCCACTTTGAAAGAAAGAGTGCTCTAGAGGTACAAAATAGTATATAATGAAAATGGCAATTCAGTTCTAACTACTACCTATGTAACTGACAGAGAGCTGCAGTGGTGTTTTAGCCTTGGGGAAACATGTCAGCTTGTCTATACATTCTTATATGATTGATGTATTCAGGTAACTATTACTTGCCAACAATAATTATTATCAATGGTATATATTTCCATTCCTTTAACAAAAGCAACTTGAAGATGTTAAAACATGTAGGCTTTCAGAGCTCCAAGATTAGGTACAAATAAAATTCTCAGTCTACACCATGCCAGAGGAGAAGTTTGCAAAGGAAATGTCACTAAGCCGTGTGCAGTCCCACTAGCCAAGGAACACAGGACCCAGGAACACGCCCATGACAGAAGGCCAGGGCACTTTGGAGATTTTCAGAAACAAGAAAAGCAGTCACATCTGGAGCCAAGAGCCCAAAACGTGAGCGTCTCTGACATCTTCCATAAACACCAATCAGACAGCAACTTCAAACTCTTTTAGCAAATGCAGTTTTACAAGTTGAACACAGTTCAAATCTGATGAAATCTTCATGACGTAGAAGTTCATGTCTGACTTTTTAAAAGTCTTGATTTTCAGAAGGGGCTGATTATGAGCCATGAAATCCCTTGGAAACAACAGACTCTGGTGTGCCTCTTCGGAGTGGTATAAAAATCTTCCTTCAAGATCACCTCAGGAGTTGAGTTCCTGTGCATATGCTCAACGTAATCAGCCTCGAGGATCACTTGGTTTATCCTTGGTTAATGGGTGACCTATAAAGGAAGAAGAAAATATAACCATTTCATATCATAGCTATAATCTTTAAACTCCAAACACAATTTGGCATTAGGATAACTCAAAATGCTGACATTTGCTATATCTCACAAATTACTGAATTTTAAAGAATATCATAATCAGGTGTTTTCATCTTATTAACATATATCAATTTTTTTCTCTTTACAATATTTTTGAATCCACTTGCCTAACTAGCCAAATGACTCCAACACTGCCCAGGAAGATCTTAACCAGTGATGCTACCCGTCCAGACCCGAGGAATGATTCTGGAATCCCTGTTCTTTGCACAGCCATGATGAACATAACCCAGAGATCATAAACACATCATGCCAGGCCTCAGTGAAGAAAAGGCTTTGCTTGCAGGAATGCAATCAGACCACATCTTCACAAAAGCCCTTGGGAATTGACTCCATAAAATCCATTCTTGAAATAGTTTAAAAATTTAGTGAATATTTGACTCAATTATATTTCAGAAGAATTATTCCTAAGAACAAAAAATATTTGGGGAGGAAAACAAGGATAATACAATGTATTACCAAATCTTAAAGATGCCCAAAATTTCTCATAAAATTGATTAGAGCATTACTATTAATACTATCATAAATATTAAGGCAGATTTACACTGGATTTTCATACCTACTCAAGTCCAAAGAATGTTTGTGCACAGGAAAAAGAATGACACACAGATAGCTGGCATACTTGGTATATATATATATACCGCTATATGCAGACATGTGGAGGACAGATAAGAGAGAAAGACAGATTTCTGCTATGTCAATGAATTTCTAGTTATACGCTAACATCATGGTTCTTAGAGTTGCCTTACAGTTCTTTTCCAGCTATGGTTATTACAAAAGGTGAATTTTAAAAATTATTGTGGATACTAAGTTTTTATTCCATTAAATCATGTAGTTACTTGTTCTTTCATCAAACATTTACAAAAAGGCTGCTTTTTGTTGGCTTTGTTTTGTCTTGTTGTTGTTTGATGAACTATGAAAAAAAGAAACATTAACCAAAATAATAAAGCCAGCTCAAGGCTTTGCCACAGCTAGTCTCAAATTATACTACAAAAGGAAGATGTAAAATTCAAAAATGCATTTTCTGCACGGAAGCAACCGCCTCATTTGTGTCTCTGGTCAGCTATCCTTCCCAAAGAAAGAGACTCTGCTGTCTATTTGAAGCATCTTTCTCCCACGCACAGAGGAACTTTGGAAGGAATTGAACTGAGGATGGAAGAATGCAAACACAGGAAGGGCCTGCTGACTGCTCGAGATTCTGGGAGCAGTGGGTATCTTGGCATGGCAGCAATGTCCTTATCAACCTGTCTGCTATTCAATGGTCAGACTTCACACAAGCTCTGTGAACGGCTCCCAGTTTGAGCGTCGGTGTAAGAAGAACATAAGGGGGAAAGGCAAATATTTCTATAAATGTTAAGTCACAGATTGCTAAGGGAGATAGCTGATCATTGTGAAAAATGCAGGAACTTTATTTTATGATAAACTTTCTTGATAAACATTGATTTAACACAATCTTTGACTTCCATTGGCTGAAAAAGATCCACCTGCCTTTCCTGAAAATTCTTCTTACTAGGAAAAAAGTATGAAGCATCAAATGGGACCATATTTCCAAAACTAGTGCTTGAAATGACAGAAAAGAGAGACATTGAGAGAGAACAAATGGTTGAGCCTCACTCAGCAGGCATTCAGCCTAGGCCACTGGAGGGACATGGCGCAATGACTCCGGGAAAGCAAGTGGCGTGTCCTCTTGAGTCATATGAAGCCCAGGTCCTAAGTAACCTGTTGGAGGGAATAGTGGCTGCATTCTTGTATCTTCATTCCAAGCTAGGTATTTCCATGCCAGTTTGTGTAAAGCTGAGGAATAATTCTCTCAACTATTTATATATTAAAGCTTTGTTTTCAAATAATTTTAAAAGTAGACATCCAAATTGACAGTGCAATACCAAAGGCTTATGTACCTAGAACAAATTTTTTCTCCATCTCAGTAGAGAAAACATATACGTATTCACATAAACAATAAAAACATTTTAATATAATTATACAATCCATATCCTCAGGAATATCATAAACGTACATTTACCAGACTAAGTTTCTATTTATAAGCTAAAATAATTGCTAGAAAACCAAAACTTAAACATGGCTAAAAGAAGTAATTGTCTAAATAAGCATGGATTGAAATGCAATTAAAATGACTTTTTCTCCAATTTTACACAATATTCTAGTTTATTAATCTTAAAAATATCCTAGCACATTTTATGAGGTGAAGAGTAGGGCATAAGTTATTTCTAAAGTTAGATGAAAGTGGACAAATTATTTTAGATTTGATTTTTGTAAATTACCTGATCTGATCGGGGGCCACAGTGGTTCGGCATGTAAAGTTCTGGATTTAGGTCAAGGTGGGAGTAATACTGCTCACACTGGATGGGTCATGCAATCTCTGGGACCCTCAGTTCTCCCACATGGGAAATGGGGATAATCCTGTCCTGTTGGCCTCACAGCATCACCGTGAGGATCAAATATTACAGTGTCTATGAAAACACTGAGCTTCGTCAACTCTGAAGGACTATAAAAATAAAAGTTTTAGGGCTTTTTTTAAATGTATAAATCTTAACAAGAGAGCCACTAAAAGTAGAACAAAAGGATCACACTAACATTCAGTCAAGTTAGAGGATTACGCTTAAGGAATTCACACAAAGACTAAGGAATCACTTGCCCTTTTCAATGAAGTATAAATATGAATCTGTATCAGCACACCCCCGCCCCCGACAACCTCCAGGTTTGTACCAAATGAAAGGGCAAAACCAAAGACTTAAAAATACATCGATGATGACGCTGAATACAGTACATTATAACTAATTTTAGTCCTCTAATATATAAGATCCAAGTAACATTTTAAAATAAAATTGTCTAAAACGTAATATAAAAAAACAACCTTTTATGATTTGTATGCACATTAAATAAGGCCAAGTGACTCCAGCTTAAATCCTGGCATGCTGGTAGGGGGAAAAGAAATGCCATTTTGCCCTTTGTCGACTATAAACTGGAACTTCCCAACAAGCAAAAGTTGCTTAAGCAATATTTATACAAGCCAACATTTAAAAATTTTGCTCTCATTTAAAAATAATCTTTAATACACCAAATTAAACACTGCTTTAATTTTAGAACTTGAATATTACTCTCTTTTCACTTAAGCCGTATCTTTTCAAAGAGGCCAAATAGTAAAAGTTTTACCTTCTAAGATGGATTTTTCAGCAAGTTTTCAGTAACTAAAAGCAGGAGTTTGCAATAAAACCAATTTTACAGGATAGGAAATAGCATTTGCTACCATGAATGCACTGTCTTCTGGTTCTGAGGGCAACAGATATAAAATACTACGTGAGGGAGAGAAATGGTCCTACAATTATGGTTCTGCCTTGAGCTTCATACGCAATAATCACTGTCTCAGTAAATTTGACTTTCCAAAGCTGTTATCATGTAAATTTTATTTGTGTGTGTGTTGCACACCAGTCAATTCGGTTCATGAAACTACTGGGCTGTTGAACACAAGCAAAATGTAATAATCATAATAATGATAATAATAATAAAAGTTTTTCTAGTCTCCAGCACAAAGCCATCTTGGTAACAATCCACCAGGATGAAGACGCTAACCTGCTAACATTCAACAAAAAGCGCTAATTCTTTAAGATGAGAGCATCCTTTATTTCTCCCAGTCCAACAAATCTATTATAGGACCCTGATTAGATTTCTCAAAAATTTATGCTAAAATCATGTCTTTTAAGTCTGTCCGCCAAATTAAATTGAGAAAATAAAACCAGGTAAATGACATATATAACATAGTTAAATTAAGTGAAGTCAACTACTTTATACACTTCTCATTTTGTATTTTAGCATTATGAAAATCCTCTGCCTATCTTCAAGTTAACATAAATTGGGCTCAAAAGGAAGGAAATGCAAGAATCTATTCTGTCCCCAAGTGTAAAAGGTGCTTTTATAAAGTTCTTAAAATCGTTATCTTCGTAGAGTCTATAATTTCTCTTCTCCCTCTTCAAGTCATGCTGACGGGGTTATCAATGGGAGACAATATATTATGGTGAGAAGAATAATGACAAATAGTGTGGGCTCTGTAGGCAGACTTCCTGGGTTCAAATCTCTGCCTTATCACTTCCTACCACTGTGGGGTTGGATGAATTATTTAAACCCCCTGAGCCTTAGTGTCCCCCGTGTAATATGAGAATGGTCTTATTATCAGCTTCCATACGTTTCCTATTGTGATTAAATCAGATAATCCTTGCAAAGCATCTGTCCGGGAAGATGCTTTTTAAATTTTAGCGTGTGATAGCAATAGTAATTCCCAAACAAGACACAAAAGGGGATACACAGGATATCTACTGGAGGGGGCATTACTGCTTATTTCTCTACTTACTACTTCTATTGACTTACTCAAAGGTAATTTCCTGTCTTATAATAACTGATTTTGCAACTGTTTCTTTCCATATTCTTTTTTTTTTTGGTGAGGAAGATTGGTCCTGAGCTAACATCTGTTGCCAGTCTTCCTCTTTTTGCTTAGAGAAGATTGGCCCTGAGCTAATATCTGTGCCAATCTCCCTCTGTTTTATGTGGGATGCTGCCACAGCATGGCTTGACGAGCGGTGCTAGGTCCTCGCCCAAGATCTGAACCTGCAAACCCCAGGCCACAGAGGCAGAGCGCACAAACTTAACCACTACACCACCAGCCTGGTCCCTCTTTTCATATTCTTGTTAATCACAAAAATCATATCTCAAGAATGGAGCACCAGTGGCTCAGCCAACTTTGGGAGAGAGGTTGTCTTTTCAGACGAGGTGATAGGGAGTAGTGGTTTAAAAGGATGGACCCTGCAGTCAGGCTGCCTAGCAGATTCAAGGCTCAGTGCTGCTGCTGACTCAGTGTGTGACCTTGAGGAAAGCAGGCACAATGTCAGTAC